AAACATTACCACCTATACCACGCACACGACCAGAATGTTCAACTCCATACACTTTTCCAATGACGTCATTAGAATGGGCCAATATCTTCAATGGAACACCTAAAGTAGCAGCATGTTCTTGATCTTCAGGTAGATGTTCCAATATTTTATCCTACAAATAAAATAGAAGACATGAGAGAGAAATGCCAACATTGTTAATAATGAATTGTTAATCAACTCATTAGCAAGTATTGCAAAACTAAATCATCTGCTACCTTGCACTTATTAGAATCAATAAAAATATTTAAGTGGTGAAAATTTATTTAGGGGTGGGTGGCAATGGAACTGGATGATTTTGTATTTTTCCAGGAAACTGTTGTGTTTAGCATCTCTAGATAGGAGTTGAACCATGTGTAGGAAAAGTTACATAACTTATGAAGATTAAAAAGTACATTCAAAACAGAACATAAAGATATCATTTCTATACCAATATTGTCACAAAATAGACGAGTATTTGAAACTTACCGCTAAAATCGTTCCCTCTTCATTCACATAATTACCATTCTTTTTCAATAAAGTTGACAATACAACTTCACTTCGGCACACCGGCCTTCCCAGTTTTTGTTCCTATCATTAATCAAGTACAGATAAAAATAAGTAACAAGCAATACATTTTATTTTGTATAATAAAGTGGTTCATAAATAAACTTCAATGTAAAGAAACTTACCATTTGACGATCTCTCCTTGCATTGCTTTTGCTACCACCAGCATGCGAGACTTTAAGTTTTGTTCTATTCCTCGTATTTTGTGCACTTTGTGTCTGCAGTAATCAAATATTTATTTCTTATATATAGATGCAAAGTATCAAATTTGTACGTTAAAGTAGCGATAGATTGCAATAACAATTTGAATAGCTATTAAAAAGAAATTAAGGCAATAATTTTTTTACCATACATATAGCATTAGTTATCTCAAGGAGTTGTCATAGTTTGTCATAGTTATCTCAAGGATAATTAATTATACGATTTAAGATTATAACATAATTTTTAAAAATTTATACCATTTGAATTGATTACAAAAATCTATTTTTTCCTTTTCTCTATCTTAACATCTGGAATTCCGAGTATATCACTCCATCTCTATCAGGTACATCACATTTTGTTTGTGAACAATGTATCTGTTGATACATAATTCCAATTATTTCAAACCAAAATCAGTATTAATCTGGTTTATAATTATATATCTAATACATAACTTATATATCATTTGATATGTATATGGTGCAGTAGCAATGTATTTGTGAATTCTGAAAAATTCAGGATTATTGTAATTTGAGAAACTTTCAAGATAGAATGTAATTAGCATTCAAATTATTGAAATTTTTGTACTTTATACTAATTTTTAGTGCTCAATTTTTAATAATCATAAAATGAAAAGTCTCTCACTATAGTAGTATATTTTTTATATTTTATTAAGTTCGAATAATTTTTTTTGTATGCAGTAGGCATTATTTTTATGTAGATTAAAATTTAAAGGAATCATTTAATAAAGCAGTAATAAAAAATTAATTATTTTGATGATCTTATTAACTTAGGAGTTATAATTTCACTTGATTAGTTAATAGTGATAATTAATCCTTGATACTTTTGATCATTGAGTTACCTAATAAATAAAAATAATAATAAAGTAATAAACTAATAACTATCAACTAACACGTATTAAGTATTAATTAATAATAATAACTTATAAGTAGTAACTGAAAAGTAAAATGGTAATAATAATCTTGAGTAAAAAGTAAAATTATAATAACAAAATCTTGCTAGCATTTTCAGAGAAATAATAAATTAATAACTAATAATAATAATTTATATAAGTATTATTATTATTATTATTATTATTATTATTATTATAATAATAATAATAATAATCTTATTAACACTTTAAGAAAAATAATAAATTAACAATGAATAAAAATAAGTAATGGAGTAACTAATAAGTGATATCGTAGAGTTATGAGAATTAATGAGTTTTGAGAAAGTTGAAATTAAATATTAAATTCTTTAAAGTTAAAAGAGTAGAGAAATTGAGAGAATATGAAAAAATATTTATAGATTAATGGAGAGGCTTTTTTTTGGAAAAAACTTTAATAAAATACGAGATTAGATTTCTGATTTTTTTAAGCGTTAGTGGGCCCCACATTGGTCAAAAAATTGACAAAGAGATTCTCTAAAAGTTCGTGCCTCCAACGAATATTTCTTTGTCTTGGACTGGTTTAATTTGGGCTTCTACTGATTTAGGCTAATTTCGGATCGACTCGATCCCATACAATTGACACCCTTAGTTTCAATTATATAAAAAGACCATCAAAAGGTAAAATTATTAACAACAACGCAAAAAATTAAAACTTCTTATTTGTGTGAGAGTTCTTGAGTTCCTCTTACAGGTATGTTTAATTTTCATCTTCTTTATGAAATGTGACATGTGAGTTTGTATGTGCTTTCATTTGAAATCATTTTTTAATCTTTTACAAAAAAAAATTGTTTTATGTCCTTCTATAAGATATATTCATTTTTTTTATACACGTATGAGATCTGAAAAGAATATTTTATTTTATTCAAATTGTAAGAAGACAAGATATCTCATTTTCTTGTTTCCATATATGCTTCTACAAACGCATTTAAAACTTATATATGTTTTAGATCTGTTTGTTTGAGCAATTTATCTTTTGAACTATATGAAACTCAAGATGGACTGTATGAATTTTTTCTATTTGAAACTCTAACGAAATAACATAACAAAAGTGAATCTAGGATTTTAAGTGAGCTTGAGAGAGATAATTTTTATACCTTTCCAAAATTCTTTTTACTTTTATAGCATTTTTGTAAATAAGAGATTTTTTACTATTAAAAGATTTTCATTTTTATACATATGAAAATTTAAAAATGACATTTTTTTGTATTTAAATTGGAAAAAAGACGAGAAATCTTATTTCAGGTAAATTCTGGAGTCTTTCATTTGTGAAAGTGGATATAAATTTTGGGAGAAATTATTTTCCAACCCTATACAAATTTCTTTTAGTTTAATAACCTTTTTTATAAAAGATCTACATTCTTTACACCTAAGAAATGTGAAAAGATAAAAAAAATTTAAAAAATGGTAAAAAGGCAAGATAACTCATTTTCTTTCGAGGGAATTTAGTACAATTGTCATAAAGGTATGTTCATCCTTGAAATAGTGTCTCTATTACAATTTATATGGATATTTAACACTTCGAGAGTCAAATTTTTCAAATTATGATGGTAAATTCAGGTATGAAATCTATAAGGTTTTCAAAATAAAATTATATATATTCAAATATTATGTAAAAAATATTATAAGTCAAGTAATTGACAATTCAAAATATTTGAATGTTGTTTGACAAAAGTCACGATCAAAACATGTTCGACTCTCAAAACTCAAAGAGCCACTTAAATTTTTTATTTTCAGTTTTTTTCACCAAAAAAGCATTTGCCTCTCTGTAGCAGTGGCTTAAAATGAAGCCAGTAGTCTCCATATGAGCTTTCAATTTTCTCACTTCATCATAAATGCTCCATGGTATAGAGTTGATGTCATTCACACAGTCCACCAAGACCTTGGAGTCACTTTCCGCTAAAATATAATCATATTCATTCCTCATACACCATTCAACTCCATACAACAATGCTTTAGCCTCTTCCCAATTGTTGGTACCATGTCCAAGATTTAGTGAATATGCAAAAATAAGATGCCCACGGTGGTCTCGAATCATCCCTCCACCTCCACAATAACCATCTTTACAACTTCCGTCAGAATTAAGCTTCACAAAGTTGTTAGAGGGCTTCAACCATTTAACCTGAACAATTGAGATGTTACTTATCAGCAAGTAACAGACTGATTCCCAGTCAGGGTCTACCTTAATCTTATCATGAATTCTTTTGTCACGCCAAAATCAAGCTCAAAAATGTGTACCGTGTGATTATATATATATATATTTGTCTTATCAGGACATCTCTATTTACTCAATCATGTTTGAAACTAAAGCATGATTATTATTAATTTAAAAAGAAAAATAGTATCGCCTTAATCCATATATATTAGAATGAATTTACATTTAGTGAGAACTGACAAAATTGACCTAAACATACGACTAATCTATTTAAAGAAGAAAATGAGTAAAAATATATGTGATATAAAACAACGTAATAAATAACTCTGATCAAATTTTTAAGACAAGCTCTTCACGATATGTTAAGGAAGCAAAGAAGTAGTAGCTTCATGTAAATAATTTATCTTTTCGGAAAATTTTCAAGTGAACTATTTTTAAAAAAAAACTTCCAATTACTTATTTTAGGATATATGTTAAACTATATTGAACATTTCTGTTACATAAAAAACAAATTGTCTAAACTTTTTTTTAACCCAAGGTTTATCTAGAAAAGTAGCATTTTTAAGAGAATGTTCTTTTAGCAAATATTAACAAGGAATACAACAAAAACAACTCTGTTTCATCAATATATAAATCATAGCTATTCATGTTCCTCCAATTAGTTAGTTCAACAACAACAATAATATATATAGTGTAATTCCACAAATAGAGTATGGAGAAGGTAATAAAATATACACTAACCTCTCTTTCATTTTGTGAAGAAAGATTATTTCCAATGACCAACAGCTCAAAAGAGAAGTTATTAGGAAAACAAAATTTCCTTAAGAAAAAAAAATGACAGTAAAATATTAAGATACAAAGCAAAATGAAGCAACAAATAGTAAAAATTATATGTGATCACTAATAAATACTTCTACCAATAAGGGGAGGAAGATATGGGGCTAGCCCCCAGACTCTCCCCCCTAACGAAACCTTCTTATTTACATTCATGTCTTTCAACTACTAAAACGTTCAAATTTTGAACTCATAATTTCAAAGGTGAAATGGATAAACCTATGGAAAGTTGAACCAATAAAGTAACTAAACATACATGGATCTGCATGCCTTTTGTCTTCCTTATTGGTGGATGGGGTTGCTTTTCTTCGGTGGTGGCTCGATAATGTTTGTCACAACATTAGCACCTTTTATTTCAATGGCTGCCTTGTCATAAGCCAAAGCAGCTTCAAGCGCAGTGTCAAAACTTTCTAACCAACGTCGTTTATCGTTCTTACATCTCAAATCTCTGCATCCCATCTTTCCCATTTTCGTCGTCTAATTCCCCTGTACTTCTTTACATTTTCTTCGAGAAGTTTTGTATCTTTTTTCTCTTTGGATGATACCATCTTTGAAGTGACTTTGGTTTTTCCATTTCTGATGATAATTTCTTTACAAATTCTTTTATGTCGTTTGGACTTCTCTCCTCGAAGATTTTCCTCCTCATCACTGGACGAGTCTGTGGCGTCATTGTCCGTTATGTAAATATAAAGAAATATACTAATATAGTACGAAACTTATATTTTTATGATTATTAAATATTGAGCACTAAAATTAGTTTAAATTAAAAAAAATCAATAATTTGGGTGCTAATTACATTCTATCTTGAAAGTTTCTCAAATTACAATAATCTTGAATTTTTGAAAACTCACAGATACATTACTCCTTCGCCAGATACATAGCAAATGATATATAAGTTATGCATCAGATATATAATTATAAACAGGATTCATACTGATTTTGGTTGGAAATAATTGGAGTTATGTATCAACAATAACATTCATACCAAATACATTGTTCACAAACAAAATTGTAATGTATCTGATAGAGAGGAGTGATATATCCAGAATTCCAGATGTTAAGATAGAGAGAAGGAAAAATTAGTTTTTTGTAATTAATTTAAATAGTATAGATTTTTAAATATTATGTTATCTTAAATCATATAATTACATAATTTTCCTTAAAAAAGTATATTAATAATGAACCATCCTGATGCAACCCAGTCCACTAATTAAAACATAAATAATTAATTCTTTATAGTTGAATTTTTTTTTTATTGTTTTTTTGCTTTATACTTGAATTTGTTTCATTATAACTTTCCATTTTTCACATGTCATTCTTATCATGTAAGTACACTAATAAAAAAGGAACCAATATTAATAATAATAGTAGTTGCAACTTATATCTGGTCACCAAATTTTAGAAAACTTATGTTTAACTATTTTGACATTATCTCCGAGTAAGGTCATTCAAGTATGCGAATATATTTAATAAAATTATTAAATTTCTTTTTGTAAAGGTCAAATTTTTCTCTTGTAAAATTACTCAACTAAATTTGTAATTTAAAAATTTTAACATGATAAAATAATATTTTTTTAATGTCATGTACAGCAAGAATTTCTTCATTTTTGAAATTTTATAAGATGTAATTTATTAGGTATTAATTTATTATATTTCTTAAAGTGTTAATAAGATTATTATTATTATTAGAGCAAATGGTCCAAAACCTCTCCTACCTATATTCGAAATGCCAACTACATACTCTAACTTTACGGGTGTCCTATCACCCTCATGGAATATTTAAAAATGAAATAAATAACTCCTGAAATGTTGAGTTGGCACTGAGAGTGCATAGAGAGTGAGCTGACTATTTTTTCTTTTTTATTTTCTTTTTGATCATTTTTCTCTTTCTTTTTTCATTGTTTTCTTTCTCTTTCTTATTATCTAAGCTATTTTCCTAATCTAAATTTTGCCATGGTTGGAGTTTCAGATTTTCTGACAACCTTTTTGGAATTCATCTCCTAATTAATTCTTAATCTTTGTAAAAAATTAATTTGTAATCTAAATCAATCCCTCAAACTTTTTCTTCTCTCGATAAGATTTTGTGTCTTTACATAACAATATTCTTAACTTTTTGAAGAAAGATATTTCTTTTTTACTGTAGAATATAAATTCAACTACTTTATATACTAAATAGGGTTTAGATTAAATTTATTTGTTATAGAAGACTAAACTTTGTATTCAATTCATTGACAAGACAACAAATATTTTTTGGGTTAAAACTTTGAGAAGGTGAAGAAAGTGAAAGAGTTAATGGTGAAGAGAAGGAAGGTGATAAAGGGGGTAACCAAAGATTAGATCTTTATTCGAAATCCCTCATCTGTTTTTGAAAAAAAAGTACTCCTATAACTAAGAGATAATGTAGAAGTTAACCTGAAAGGATTAGATCATAGTTTATTCCTAGTTAAAACATCTAGGGGTCCTTGAGGTGGAGGAGGAGATGGAGGCGGTGATATCAATCTTTTTAGCGGCGGGGTTGAACAAAAGGATGGAGCAGGCGGCAAGTCTGCATTTCTCTACAACTACACTAGGTAATTAAATCTTCAACAAAAAAAATAATTCTCCCAAGTTGGATTCAAATTCCTCAATATTATTTTAAATCGAAACTTTCACAAAGAATTAAGGTTGAAAAATAATTGAGGAAGAAAGGATAAAGAAGTAGGAGAAAAAATAATTAAAAAAGATTAATTGGTGAAAAACACTTGTCAAGTGTGTGTGTTTCACCACAAGATACATGAGTGGTTATAGCGTTTAAGGGGTTATTTATTTCATTTTTAAATAGTTCAGGAGATGATAGGATACCTGTAAAATTGGAGTCTGTAGTTGAGATTTCGGGTATAGGTTGGGGGATGGTTAGACCATTTTCTCTTATTATTATTATAATATTACATATATAACTTGTTATTATTAGCTATTAATTTATTATTTCTCTTAAAATGCTAGCAAGATTATTATTATTACAATATTACTTTTTAGTTATTATTTATTAGTTATTATCATTCATTAATGTTAAATACAAGTTAGTTAATAGTTAATAATTTATTACTTTATTACTATTTTGACTTATTAAGTAACTCAGTGATCAAAAGTATGAAGGATTCAATATCATTATTAATTAATCAAGTGAAATTATGCTACCATACGAGTCAAGTATTTATTCTGTTGCAAAAGTTTATGATACTCGTTTCATTTATTTCTATTAATTTATTTTTAGAAACGATATTGTCAAATGATTGTTGGATATATAGTTACTCACTTTACAATCTAATTTTCTTTGTATATATCGGTCGGGTTGCTGCACGGAGGATCAAACCTGGATGTTGGGCTTCTTACTCTAGTTAGAAGAGTTAATTGTTGGTGTTACTCAAGAAAATAATAGAGCTTCTAAAATTAAAGAATTTAAAATCGAATATGCTGTACATGGTCTTGCCCCTAGATATATTAGAGATTGAATTAAATTGTAGCAAAGAAATCAAGGATACGAAGATAATATCTAAATGATTTGGAGAACGAAAAAATTGAAGCTATATATAAAAGATGAAATCCATCTGATAGTGTAATCATACCAACACATCAGGTTGATATTGAAGAAATTATGAAAAGTGTGTTATGCTACCATACGAGTAAAGTATTTATTTTGTTGCAAAAATTTATCATACTCGTTTCATTTATTTCTATTATTTTATTTTTAGAAACGATATTGACAAATGATTGTTGAATATAGTTACTCACTTCACAATTTAATTTTCTTTGTGGGGTATATATCTGTCAGGTTGTTGCACGGAGTATCAAACCTGGTTGTTGGGCTTCCTACTCTAGTTAGAAGAGTTAATTGTTGGTGTTATTGAAGAAAATAATAGAGCTTCTAGAATTAAAGAATTTAAAATCAAATATGGTCTATATGGTCTTGCCCCTAGATATATTAGAGACTGAATTAAATCGTAGCAAAGAAATCAAGGATACGAAGATAATATCTAAATGATTTGGAGAACGAAAAAATTGAAGCTATATATAAAAGATGAAATCCATCTGATAGTGTAATCATGCCAAAACATCATGTTGATATTGAAGAAATTATGAAAATGGTGCAAAATATATGAAAAATGATTTTTTAGACTGATTAAAACCAAAAAAACCCTAAAATCCTATTTTTTCCTTTTCCGATGGCTGCCACGGCCGGAGCCCAACCTTCTGTTGAGGCAAGTCGGCTGGTAATTCCATCTGGACCTTCATACACTGATGCACTGGGTCTGAAGAAACATCACAAACAACCATTACCACTAAAACCAATTTCGTATTTGCATGGAGAACCTCAAGTAATATGGGATGTAGAAGAAGTAAATCAGATGATCGTCAATGAAAATGTAGAATATGCGGTGATTGGGAAGTTTTCGTACGGATGGCCGGATATACAAGATCTTAGAAAGTAGATACCTAAAAAATTTGAACTAAAGGGTGAGTGTAATACCGGTTTGCTTAGCAATAGGCATGTCTTAATAAGAGCAACGCTTTAGGAGGATTATGCGCATCTCCTATCCAAGCTAGCTTTTTACATCACTCAAAACAACTGGTCATTCCCAATGAGAACTTTGAAATGGGATCCAATGTTTAATCCTGAAGAGGAAACGGCAACTGCAATTGCTTGGATCTCGTTTCCATCGCTGTTGCCAAATTTTTTTGGAGAAGATGCCGTATTTTCACTTGCGGCAGCAGTGGAAAAGCCACTACAGGTGGACATGGCAACGAAGAATCAAACGAGGCCAAGTTGTGCAAAAGTAAAGGTGGAGGTAGATTTACTAAGAGAATTTCCAAAGCGGATTAAAATTGGGATGAGGATGAAGAATGAGGAGATATTGAAGAAGTGGATCAAGATCAAATACGATTATGTGCCAAAGTATTATCAAACATGTATGATTCAGGGACACAATGAGGAACATTATTTTGTCAGAATTATACCCAAAAGATAAAGCAGGACAAGTGGAGGGGAAGGGAACAAAGAGAAAGCAAATGATTTCTAAGAAAGGGAATTCAGATGTGCATGCTGCAGGAGATGCTGGAATTATAAAAAAAAAAACAATAGAGAAGATGGATTTGTAGAGCAGCAATACAAAATATGGGAAGGTGACAAACCTAAGCAGCCAGAACAAGTTTGGAACAGGGTGGATTTAATCATTAAAAATACATTCAATATGTTGGCACAAGTTCAACAAGAGAGAGGGGGAGAAGGGGAAAAAGTTTATCTGACTGGGTGGACAAAAATGGAGGTACGCCTGGTGTTCAAATGATTGATAACAAAGAAAAAGGGAACCAATAGACAAGGGGGCACAAGAGAGAATGAAATTGTAGAGGGGAACAACCAGCCAAAAATACATAATATAGATACATCAAGTGACATAGATGACAATCATCAGGCAAGCAACAAAGAAGGTGGTAGGGTGGAGAAGAATTTTGAGGAAGATGGATCAACAAAGGAGACTTATGAGGTGAATAATCAGGTTAAGAAAAAGGAGAATAATGATCAAATATCTATGGCAAGCTCCTCACGATATGTTAAGGAAGCAAAGAAGTAGTAGCTTCATGTAAATAATTTAGCTTTTCAGAAAACTTTCAAGTGAACTATTTTTTAAAAAAAACATCCCATTACTTATTTTAGTATATATGTTAAACTATATTGAACATTTCTGTTACATCAAAAATATATTGTCTAAACTTTCTTTTAACCCAAGGTTTATCTAGAAAAGTAGCATTTTTAAGAGAATGTTCTTTTAGCAAATATTTACAAGGAATACAACAAAAACAACTATGTTTCATCAATACGTA